GCAGAACTGGAACGAGCACAAAGAAGTCATCGGTCGTGTCCGAGGGACGAAATGACGACGACAGAGGTGCGACTATAGACGACAGAGATAGAGTGGCCGTTGTCGATCTTCAGAGAAGGTCATCGTCGTCTTCTTCAGGCGGCGAGGAGGAAGGCGCCAGGAAAAGGAGGAGGATGCTGAGGGGCAAATTGCAGAGCAGGAGCCGAGGCTAGGGTTCTGGTCGCTGAGTTGAATGAGGACTCTTTTGAGGTTAGTAGATGTAAATTTCAATACCGGTATTTTTGGTAATTTTTCATTTTAAAACCGGAACCGGAATACCGGTAAATTACCGGTATTTTTATTATCTTAAACAAACGTAAACAAAATTGAAAGTTACTAGTACAAATATAAAAAAAATGTATATACAACTACAACTATATTCAACTAAACAATAAAATAAACAATAAGTTTTTTTTTTTATATAATAATTCAACAAAATTATATCCAATTCAATTAATTCATTATCACTATCGAGTATATTGAGTACTTTTCACCCAAAAACAACTTATAAGTAAGAAGACCAAAACTCATAAAGATCATATTACATTATTATAATAAACTGTATTGTCTGTATCCGATGTGTTAAATTAGCATAATCTCCAATATTTAAAAAAATAATTGTTCTACACTAATTTAAGATCGGATTCTTTGTCGAGATAAATAATAAGTTACTATAATTGTTGAGTATTGTTATTTAAAACAATGTGATGCTTCTATAGTATTTTCAAACTTCGAAAGTTGTCGAAAAATAATATTTTATAATTGTAATAAGAAGCAAAAATATTTCGTAATTATCATAATTATTATGTATAAAGTTAGAAAAAAATAAAGATTACGCAGGGGCAATCTGTATGAGATAAAATATTTTGGCGCAATATCACTTAAAAAACCGTTACATTTTTACATAAGAAACAAACATCATTATCTACCAGTTTAATTTTATTTATTGTAACACGATATGAAGCCCTTAGTAAAGCAATAAATATTCAGTTTAATGACGAGTTAAAATATTTGACATTTGTTCATCCTATAGAATCACTTGAAGATATAGCTGTTATGCGATTATGGAATTTAAAGATAATTTTTTTCCGAGAAATTTAAACTTTAGTATATTATGTATCAAATAGCGCTTATGTAAAAATACCGAAAATACCGGTATTTTTGGAGTAAATACCGGTAAAAATACCCTCCGAAAAATCGGGCGGTTTATCGGCAATTCGGTATACCGGTATACCTGTATTGCATTCCCTATTTGTGACTGTTGCGTTGAATATTGTAGATGTTTATGTGTTGTATGTTTTAGTTGGAGGAGTTTCCTTATGTTCCTACGACTTTACCGCAAGAACGTCCTGTGGCTGTTCCTATAGTACCCGTCAAGCAGCGGAGGAAAAATAATAAAACCACTTGCAAGTAAGTCAATTTGAAATGTCCAAAAGGCATATTTATTTGTAACTAGATGACCCGACAGACGTTGTCCTGTACCTATGTCTACAATTTGTTAATATAATATACTAATATTTACCGTTTACCTAAAAATAATAATTATTGTTTTTTAAATTACTCTTCACGCCAAAATGCATATACATTTATAATATCAGCGATGTTAAATGTAGAACTGCTTTAAATAAAATGATGAGCCTCAATTCCAACACAATATTGAAAATTAAGGTCTTTTAAACAGTATAACATAACCATAACCATAACATAACACTGGTACTTCATGTTGGATTAAATTAGTTTAATTTTTTATTATTTAAGATATCCAAAAATGAATCTTAAACTTCTCCTAATCGATATCGTGAGAGCGGAATTGTATGTTTTCATCTTTACTTTCCCATTTGTTGTTATAAAGTGAAATTTTTACGAATTTTAAAATATTGTGGAAAGATTAGTGAAAGATGCAAAGAAATTATATATTGAAAAAAAAACTATATTGAAAATTTAATATCCGAATCTTGTGCTGGCGCCCCCTAAGGCGTGCACTCGTATTTTTCGCATGTATCGCATTAAAGGTAGCACCGGCCCTGATTAATACTTGATTTCATATTTTGAGTGAATTACTTTGCCACAAATTCTTTCAATCCTACTTGGACAAAAGACAGTTCAGAACCAATGTTGCTACAGATTTATCCAGCTATCGATTCATAAAAGCCGGCGTCCCACAAGGCAGTTGCTTGGGCCCAACCCTTTATATTATTTTTACATACGATTTACCACAATCAATGCAATGTTAGATACAAAGAAGATGCAATGTTAGGTACATAGGTGATGACACAGTAATAGCAACATCCCATATAATTTCTGTAACAGCTAGCACAAAGCTACAGCACCATTTAAACAAAATAGAAGCATGGGCCCAGAAGTGGAGACTTAAAATTAATGAATCAAAGTCTTGCCAAGTCACTTTCACCCTAAAGAGAGACAAGTGTCCGGCAGTAAAAATCAATGATAAAACGATACCTCAATCAGATACTATAAAGTATCTAGGATTGCACTTAGACAAAAAATTGAATTGAATTCCACAAATCAGCAACAAATGTAAACAGTTAGAGAGAAAAGTAAAATCCCTATATTGAATGTTAGGCCCAAAATCTAAATTGTCCCTCGATAATAAGGTGCTAATATACAGAACGGTGATTAAGCCGATATGGTGCTATGGGGATGAACCATAGACAAAACTCCCACTGGGGAGTTTCTTAAACAATTTTATTTTTACATATCATTATTTTATATTTTTGTTTTGAACTCAAATACTGTATTTGAGTTACATACATCACAATAGCTTACAGAATTGTAACTCGTTCTGATTTCTATTTAGAAAGTTAATAATAAAAAATAATAATAATAATTTGTCATATCCTGTTCGTATGTGTATCATTCAATCTTCCATACATATACTGTATTTTATATTATTTTAATTTCTGGCACATCTCAGCTGCTTTTCGGCATTAATAATGTAGACATTTCATTTTTCTTATTCATAATCATAAATTCATTATACATATTCGAACATTGTCTGGGTTCATAAGTAAATTGAAATTTTTGGTGGATGATAGTTTTCATTTGTTTTCAATGCAAACAATGACATGTCGTTTTTTGCAATATTTCCCATTTATTTCTACAGTATTGCACATACATGCCAGTATTTTATAATCACATACATTCTAGAAAATTTTCTTAACAAACTTCAGAAAGATTTATCAAAATCCGAATAATCGTTTAGGAGAAGTATACAGTGAGTGATTGTAATTTAATATGACCTTTATATAATAGCAATAATGCTCAAATTGATTCTACGTTTTAGTTAGAAAACGTTTGTATGTGAAAAAGAAAAGGGCTGTTTTTAGGGGTTTCCCGGCAATTATTCGATTTATTCTCGCTGTAAGAAGCATCCTTGGACTTCAACGAACATTTGAAAAAAATAAATGGCCAAATTGGTCCAGGCGTTGTTGAGTTATGTGCTTACCAACACATTTTGCGATTCATTTTTATATCTAACATTTTATATGATGTTTTCATTATTTTATTTCTAGGGTGGAAAGACCGCGGCCAACAACTCCGATAGAACCCAGCAGGTTCCAGCAACTTCTGAAAAGTGCAGCTCAGCAAGAAAACTCCTTGACAGCTAGTAATGCTAAACAACAGCAGCAAGAACGTTTGAGAATCAAATTGCCCTCAACAGCACATTCATCTGAAGCAGAAGAAGGACGTCAAAGGTCGCCTAGAAGACCTGTAGCTGAAGCAGCCGAAAGGTAGATGAAGCTGTTTATAATTTTTAGCTACCAACATAAAACATTTCTATGTCCTTTATCATCTAGTTGGATTGAATTTGCGGAGCAAGCCATTGCTCCAGCTCGAAGACGCACAGGATCGACAGCCTCCCAATCAGGAGAGCATCATTCTACATCGACATCGAGGAGAGAATCATGTTCGACTCCGCCGCCGCCTTTGCCTCCGAGGAAAACGCCTCCAAACTCAGCACGAGAAGAAAGAACCATGTCGAGATCTGCTCCTGTCAAAAGTTGGATAAATTTTGAGGACATTCCTGAGAAGCGGAGGCCACCGAAGAGGATACAGACTATACCGACTGCAGTCAACATTGTAAGTGATAAGAAGTCAGTTGACACTATTCCTACCGGGACCGGTCAAATGATTGAGTGAAATTTGATTTTTCGATTAGTATTTTTCATATTAAACGTAATTGAATCGTCATCAAACTTCATAACTTTTCCTAATATGTGAATATGATACATTTTTCAATGTAAATTTGTTTTTCCAATTTTTATTTTTACCTACCGCGACCGGTCATTTGACCGGTAGTACGAAAGACGATGTTCGGACAGCATTTTTTGTAGTATCAGACTTACAAGAAAATGTAAATTCAGACGAATTTAGAGTGATAGTGATAGGTTTTGTTTTGAATCCAAAAGTTGGTTCAACTACATTGACAGCAATCAAAATTGTTGTAAAAGGCCACGTATTACTACCGACAAACATATATTTTCAATAAAGGTAAGGTGTAAATTTATTCAACACATGTTCAATAATATTCAGTAAAACGTAGTATAAAATTTTAGTAACTGTTCAATACACGATGTAAATATATAAATATGCCCAGCAAATCGCACAAATGGGGTGTAAATATTTGATAACCATCCAGTATACGTAGAAAACTGAGAATTTCTTTGAACATTTATAACCAATGAAACCGTATAAAAAATTTAAGCGTTTTTTACCATCCAACTTATAGCTAAACTTTTAGTAAAAAAAGAAACTGTGATGGTAGGTACAATTGAAGCAATATAACAGCTATTTGTAGCTGGTAGAACTAAAAATCAAGGACTTAACTCAAATAATATTTACAATTTTGGAAGCTAAGAAAGAAGATACTAATTTTCACTTACATACGCATATGTTGAAAAAATTACACTAATACGGGAGTCAATTCAATTGGTATTAGCGTCGTGTTTGGTGTAGATGTCATTCATAAAGTAGTTAGAAATCATTCGGTAAAATATGAATTTTAGAGAGAATTTATCAAGGATTTTCCTTATTTTGTATTTATTCAGGATAAATCCATTGTTTTCACATAAAGAAATTACGGGAAGACGATGTACAAGGCAGGAACTTTCTATTCCAATTAACTTGCCGTATAGTTCCAACAGGAATTCAGAAAAAAATCAACTAAGTACGAATACAAAACAGATTTCCTGAAAGAAAATATTTCAGATAATGTTTCAGAAAGATGATAGGGCGAACAAAATCAGCCAAAATTGTTGTAAAAAAATTTCTAACTTTACTTGTTTTTGAGATATTGGCAGTGGATCTTTTTACCCACGAACTTTTAAGCTCCGCTCTCCCCTATTTTTTTTGACTATATATTCATTTTTCACCAGAAATTATAAAATATTTTTCAACCGGAAAACAATAAGATTGTCATTTGAAATTCACAAATGAGTACAAGTCTTTGAGGCCCCGACGTGAAAAGCGCGGCTCGCGCTTGAAAATATTTAATATCTTTCGATGTAACAAAATCTCCAACAAATTGTAAAAAGAATTTTGTTGCAGAGAAAAAAAGAAAAAATATGTTTTTTTTATCGATTCACGTTGGGGTAAGGCTGAGTAAAACCTTTGTAAATATTTAAGGGTTGTTGTTGAACAAAAAGAAAAATTTTATTCATTACAAAGTTCACTTCAATATGAATCTAATAAAAAAATAATAATAGTGATCCGATCAGCACATCCGGAGATAATTAATTTACCGCAGATGATGTTCATAGAAATTGAGCAAAAAATCCATTTTTCAATCGTAAATATTTACGTAAAAAAATTTTTTTCAGCAAAATCCTGAAATACCTGTCAAATGATTTTATGTATAATATCTGTAAAATTTCATTCAATTCTAAAATGTCAAGGTCTGGATGGTGTACGGTTTGTAAAAGAATGACCCATATTAGGAAAAGTCGTGAAGTTTGATGACGATTCAATTACGGTTGATATAAAAAATACTAATCAAAAAATCAAAAACGGTCATTTGAGTTTGAGTTGACCGGTCCTGGTAGGAATAGTGTTAAATAAGGTAAAGGACTCGTTTTATTTTTCACTTTTCTGTAGCCTTCTCAGCATAGATCGGCAGCAACGTCGCCTCCGAATGTGTCGGGTACAAATCAGTGTTCAGCAGGTCATGGAGCAGGAGGATCGTTGACACCTCAAGGATCTTCTTCAATGGTACGCAGTTATGTTGATCCTGAAGATTGTCGTTGTGAATGCCATGATAGTACCAGGCATGCTGTAAGTAGACGACATCACTTTGACAGATGATTGATTGACAGTTGATTTTACCATGTTTAGTTGGTAGTTAGAAGTTGTCTGGAATTTTTCCCGGATTTTGTATCATTTCTATTTAGGGCCCATCACATGCAGCAGACCGCTCGCCATCAGCAGCTGCCGATGAAGAAGATAGGAAGCCTCTTCTCCAGTTAGACTCGGGTGCAATCAGGTAATAATACACATCCAATTCTGCCCTAGATCTTTTCACTTAATTAAATTATTGTTTTTAGCGATTCCTCGCCAGAATTGAGTTCGTCTCACGATCGTCCTCTGGTCGTTTTACCAGGACTTCACCAGCACCATTCGCCTTCAGAGTACAGCACCCAGCATTTGACTCCTTCAGGGCAGAGGTCACTTAGTGGGCCCTTTGCAATGGATTTAGATTTGGGGACACCTAGTAATAGATCCAGCATCGTTTCACAGGTAAGGGATGAATTAGACTCTTGAATTGAATAGTTTAAACCAAGCTTTTGTTATTAACTTCCCGTAGGGTAGTTATAGTAATGGGCCGAAAATGGAAAATGAAAATTTTTGCATTTCTCGACGTTTTGAAAGTTTCTGAACATTTTTAAGGGGCATACCTCAGAAACTAAATGGATGTGTGTGTATGTGTGTGTGTGTGTGAGTGTGTATGTATGTCTGGATACAATTTTTTGTCCACGTTTTCGGGCGCACGGATTAACCGATTTGAATGGTTTAACAAACATTCGATCCCTATTGATAGGGAGATGTGCTGATTAGTTTTTGGCAAAGGCAGGTCCAGCAGTTACGGAGATAAAGAGCAAATAGTGCAGAAAATAGAAATCGAGTTTTTGAGGGAACGGAGCATCTGTTTTGTATGATCCAAAAAACATTCAGTTCGTAATGACGGGGAAAAGTGGTTATTAGTTTTTGGCAAAGGCAGGTCCAGCGGTTTCGGAGATACAGAGCTAAATATGCAAGAAATGGCAGTTTTTGAGTGAACTAAGCGTCCGATTTGAATGTTCTAAAAAACTTTCTGCTTGTCTTAACAAAACAATCGCTTTTGAGGATAAATATAAATTATTACATCTTTTCTTATTTTCCATAAAATATTTTTGTAATTTTGGATTAAAAATTCAAAAAATCACCCAGGCTAAGCACAGTCTAAGCGCCACTCTGGTACAAATGTTTACCCGAGTGCGTTTAGACTGTTTATGTACTGGAGCACTTTTCCAATTTTGTGAAAACTATTGAAAAATGTGAAAATGCCGCCAAGCTAAGCACAGTATGAGTGAAAATGTCGCACAGAATTATTTGCAAATGCGTATAAGACTGTGACTATGTTGGAGCACTTTTTCAATTTTGTGTAAATTAGGCCACTATTTTTTTTTTTTTTGAAATTGAATTCGAAATGAAATGACGATTGTTAATGTTCTGGAGATAATTTATGATTTACATTAGATTTGCTCAGACATAACAATTAAGATAGCAAAAATAATGAAAGTCACAGTATTTGTAATAATATATTTGAAAACGTTTAAAATTTCTCGAATATTTCATTATGGTATGGGAAGTTCCAGCAATTTGCCTTAAGGCACGATGCCATACACCACTAGTTTGATTAGAATTAATAGCTTAATATGTAAATGTAAAAAAAGTAAAATAATTGCATAATTTGAATAGCGTTTTGTATAACAAAATCGCTCGGAAAAAAAGTATGTCTACGAATTTTGCACTATTGACCGTTTCTCTTATTTTTAACGATTTATGAGTATGGCATCTGGATGAATCCTTATTGCCATAAAACTAATTAAATTGCAATAAAAATGCCCAGTGGCGTCGGAACCGTGTGGGCTGTGTGGGCTTGAGCCCACCCATGAATTTTGATGGGGGGGCTCAGCCCACCCATCAATTTCAAAAATTATATGGGCTAATATCTCTAAAAAAAAATGAGACCACTGGTTGCCTATCTAAAAAAAAAAAAAAAAACGAGCCCACCCATCAAAAATTTGGTTCCGACGCCACTGAAAATGCCCAAAATTATTAGTAAGCATCTTATCTAGTTTTCAATTTAATCAATTTATTGTCTTCCCATAAGTTAATGCAATCGTCCAAAAATTGAAATTGAAAATGTTTTCATATATTTACGTTTCAGAGGTTTCTGAACATTCTGGCATACCTTAGAAAAAATGAATGTATGTACATATGTGTGGATACAATCGTTCTTCGATGATTTGAGGCGTACTGAACAACCAGTTTGAATGAATCAAACATCAAAATATCAAATTAGACTGTGACTATACGGGAGCACTTTTTCAATTTTGTGCAAATTAGGCAACTATTTTTTTGAAATTGAATTCGAAATGAAATGACGATTGTTAACGTTCCGGAGATAAATTGTTTATGATTTACATTTGATTTGCTCAAATATAACAAAATAATGCAAAAATAATGAAAGTTACAGTATTTGTAATAATATATTTGAAAACGTTTTAAATTTTTTGAATATTTCATTACGGTACGGGAAGTTCACTAGTTTTCTCTTTTTTTCAGGAAGGTGATGCGATTTCACCAATGACTTCATATTATCAAAACAGACCTATGAATTATCAAAGTAGAACGACCAATCATTGATTTTGCAAAAAACAGGTCATCAATTAGATCTCTGCACTATCAAGAAAGGACTACCAATCAATCATTCATTACGCAAGTCATCAATTAGGCATCTGCATTATCAAAATAGGACTACAATTTATTTCCTGGTCACCAATTAAGCCTCTGACTTACCAAACCAGGACCAGCAATTGCTTCTGCGGAAGAAACAAGACCCAGGATATGAGAGATTTTTAGTTGATTAAAACAGGGAATCCAGTAATTAATTTTGCAGAAAAATGAAGAACCTGGTCACCAAGGAGAAACCCAGGTAGATCTCTCGATTATCAAGGTACGATGACCAGTAATTGTTTTTGCAGTAATGGTAGACCTCCAGGTCATAAATTAGACACTAAGACTTAATTTTTAATTGACAATTAAAATAATAGTGAAGGAATTAGACTTCTGGTGCACCAGAAAGGAGAAAAGTTAGAAATAACTAGGGAATGCAATACCGGTATACCGATATACCGAATTACCGGTAAACCGCCCGATTTTTACCGGTATTTATCCCAAAAATATCGGTTTTTCGGTATTTTTACATAAGCGCTATTTGATACATAATACCTCAAAGTTTAAATTTCTCGGAACAAATTTATCTTCAAATTCCGTAATCGCATAAACAGCTATATCTTCAAGTGATTATATAAGATAGACAAATATCAAATATTATCTCAACTCGTCATTAAACTGAATATTTATTGCTTTCCAAAGGGCTTCATATCGTGTTACAATAAATAGAATTGGACTGAAGGATTATGATGTTTGTTTTATATTTTGTAAAAGTGTAACGGTTTTTTAAGGGGGGCGATACATGTAATCGCCTTAATTTTTACCATTTTTTGAGGACTTTTTAAACTAGGAAGGAATGACTGAATCTTTTTGAACTTTTTTAGGGTTATTTATTATATATTAAAATACACAAAAAAAATTTTTTTTAATTTTTTTTTTTAAAATGGCTGCCGTAAAAATAAATCTGCCAAGACCCTCTCGGAAAACGCCATCAATTTGCGGGCGTTCTCACATTTCGTACGGTGATTAGAAATCAAAAAAATTAGTTTGTACGTGTTCATAAAACATATATCTTCTAGTTAAACCAAAAAAAAATTAAAAAAGTCACAAAATCGTAAATTGGCACACCTCAGAAAAAAAAGTTCGATTTTTCACCTTTTTTTCAATGGTTTTTTTTTGGTAAAAGGGTTAATTTTTGAAAAAAATTTTGGAATGCTTGAGGTTTAACTAGAAGCTATTACTGTAAAGTAGATATGTGCAAAATTTCATTGGAATCGGTTGAGAACTTTTTGAGTTATCCCGCCCGCAAATTTCAAAAATGTCGTTTTGAGAAAAACGCGTTTAAAGTTTTGACACATAGAAACAGATAAGAGTAAATAGCACTCAAGCGTCGAGTTGAGGCGTGGCACTTAAATGAGTTTTTATTGTATAAATAATGATAATTTTGTTTTGAATATTTACAGGAATATTTTTGAGATGTTATTGTAACGATTTATGAAAAAAAAAAAAATCGATTTTTTTTTTCTTGTTACATGTATCGCCCCCCCATATTGCGCCAAAATATTTTATATCATACATCATATATTTTATATCATTACCCCTGCGTAAGCTTTATTTTTTTCTAACTTTATACATAATAATTATGATAATTACTAAATATTTTTGCTTCTTATTACAATTATAAAATATTATTTTTCGAAAACGTTTCGAAATTTGGAAATACTATAGAAGAATCACATTGTTTTAAATAACAATACTCAACAATTATGGTAACTTATTATTTATCTCGACAAAGTATCCGATCTTAAATTAGTGTAGAATTATTATTTTTTTAAAATATTGGAGATTATGCTAATTTAACACATCGGATACAGACAATACTTTTATTATAATAATGTAATATGATCTTTATGAGTTTTTTGGTTCTTTCTTACTCATAAGTTTGTTTTTGGAGAAAAGTACTCAATATACTCGATAGTGATGATGAATTAATTAAATTTGATATAATTTTGTTAAATTATTATTTAAAAAAATAAACTTATTGTTTTATTTTATTGTTTAGTTGAATATAGCTGTAGTTGTATATACATTTTTAAATATTTGTACTAGTAACTTTGAAATTTGTTTACGTTTGTTTAAGATAATAAAAATACCGGTAATTTACCGGTATTCCGTTTTTAAAATGAAAAATTACCGAAATACCGGTATTGAAATTTTCCATCGGTATTGCATTCCCTAAAAACAACCTTTCTTTTGCAGCAGAAATTACTCCTACATCCAATTTAGTTCCAAAAAATCTTCTGATAGCTAAAAGCTCGTATAATTAATAATAATTAATTAATAATAATTAGTAACAATTACTGATAACTGTTTATCTCGACGGCTTTTTAATGTTAGTACACTTCTTATATCAAATTAATAAATAAATGTCGTTCAAAAAAAAATTATAAACGCTGATGAAATCATTCTAAGTAACAAAATAAGCAATCAAGAGACAAAAACAAAGCTTGTAAAATAATTAACTAATTAATAATCGTATTAATATTATTATTATTATTAAATGTTATTTATTTATAGATGTGTAAGAAGTTCAAAACTCGGGTATGAATTTTAAATGAAAGTGTAAGACACTTGAAAAAAAATAGATAAATTATATGTAGATAAAAAGATTATTAGTAGGTGCGTGGGTCGAAAATTTTACTCAAAAAATTATTTATTGGTAAATTATTTATTTTTGTTAAATAATTTGTTATAAGGTGGAACTGTGGATTATAAAAAATTGAAATGACGTGATTTTTGAGTATACAGAGTTGCTGTAGGGTTTTATTATGTTAGACAATATTATAGATTATTTAAGTACGAATATATTTCCCTAATACATCATTCATACTAAACGAGTGGTTTCGGACTTACGTAAGATATTTGAAATTGACGCTCTTAACGATAAATGTGAAGAAATAGTAACTTAGATCGTGGTTTATGAATATACCAAGTTGTTTTAGGGCATCATGATGTTAGACAATATTGTACATTATTTAATTTTGAACAAATCTCTCTAATACATCTTTTGTATAAATCGAATGGTTTTGGAGTTATACAAGTCGAAAGAGATGCATTTTTTGATACACATAGGATGCAGAAATTTTAGTATGCAATTTTTGAGAATACTGAGTTGTTGTAGGGCATCATGATGTTAGACAATATTGTAGTCCATTTAATTTTGAACAAATCTCTCTAATACATCTTTTGTATAAATCGAATGGTTTTGGAGTTATACAAGTTTTTCGAAGAAAATGCATTTTTTGATGCATGTAGGATGCAGAAATTTTAGTATGCAATTTTTGAGAATACTGAGTTGCTGTAGGGCATTATAATGTTCGACAACATTATTAATAATTTCATTGCAAACAAATTCTTAAAATACATCATTTATATAAATCGAGAGTGCTTTTGAAGTTATGTAAGATATTCCAAAGTAAATTAGGGAAACCGTTATAAAATATTATATAAACTACATATTTTATTTAATATTTTTTTATAACAACGTCAATTATATTAAAATATATAATTATTAAAATAACAAACAAAATAGAACATAAATTATTTTTAGTATATTTAATCTAGTAACATTAGTCTATCATTATCTATTTTTTATAATTATTTATAAATATTCTTCAGACATTGATAAAATTGGTTTTATAAATATAAACACAGTTCCATCTTCAAAGAATATATAACGTAAATTTGATAAAATCCTAAATAAATATAATTGATTCATAAATATTTATTATAAATATTACTAATTTATAAAATATTTAATTACAAAATATTTATCGAATGTAAATTATAATTTAAAAAAACGGTTGTTATTTTTAGTTAGTTTATAAATATATAAAATTTTATTCTATTTTGCTGAATGAATTTATTTTTAATTCGTTAACGTATAAATTATTAATTAAGTAAATCAATCAATAAAAAATTATAAATCAATATCAAATATATTGAACGTATGTTAAATTCTATAAATTAAGAATAAGAACAAGCTTTATAAAAAAATATATTATATATATAAATTTTTAATATTTTCATTTTGGATGTGGATGAGGCAATACCTATTTTGTTTTTAATAATTATATATATAATATGAATATATATTAATATTATTAATATTATTAATAAATTTATATCAACGAAAATATATCGAAGAAAAACGAGGTAAATTTAAATAAAATATTTAGCATTTAGATACAAATATATATATATATATATATATATATATATATATATATATTATATATAAGATATTTTTATATTTCTCTTTAATAATTAATCCTCATTCTCATCGAATCGAAATAATCTGATTTCTATGTGTTCAAAATAATTCATCAACCTCAATACTGTTATTATATTATTAAAAATAATATAAATAAAATGAATTTACTGTTAACGAGAAAGCCCTTTGAGATGGAAAAAGGTTTTAATAGTAATTATTATTAAATAATATTAATATAAGTCAAATAGTATTGTCAAATCGAAGGAATTATAAAATAAATATTAAAATGTTGAATTTAAATTTATAAGGGATTTTAATTTATAATTGAATTTCGTAACGTATGCTTAATAGATAACTTGTAATTTTCTTCTAAAATATATTAATTTCATATTTTTTATATTTAGTACACATATTTAGTAGCAACATACTTGAAATACAAGTTGTAGTCCAAACGGTGCGTCCTGAATAGCTCGTTGAATAGTAACATTGTGTTTGCAAGAGCTCTTTACGTCCTTTATTCAGTTAGTCGCAAATATTTCACACTTCTTATTAGTAAAGCATATATTTTAGTATTTTTTATATTTAGTACATACATTTAGTAACAGCATACTTGAATTACAACGTTGTAGTACAAACGGTGCGTCCTGAATAGCTCGTTGAATAGTAACATTGTGTTTACAAGAGCACGTTACGTACTTTATACAGTTAGTCGCAAATATTTCACACTTCTTATTAGTAAAGCATATATTTTAGTATTTTTTATATTTAGTACATACATTTAGTAACAACATATAAAATTACAAGGTTGTAATACAAACGGTGCGTCCTGAAGAGCTCGTTGAATAGTAACATTGTGTTTACAACACCACTTTACGTACTTTATTCAGTTAATCGCAAATATTTCATACTTTTTATTAAGAAAACTAACTTTTTGGTATTTTTTATACTTAGTACACATATTTAGTAACAACATACTAAAATTACAAGATTTTAATACAAACGGTGCGTCCTGAAGAGCTTTTTAAACAGTGACACTCTATTTTTACAAATTTTTATGTCTAATGAATAATTTTCCAATTTCCCAAATTCTTCTATAAAATTTCCACTACTTTACAAGTTTTACAGTCTATTTGATTTTTATAAATTTACAAAATTTAATGAATTATTTTCCTTTATTAATATTTTCTATGAAACTTTTACTCACAATATTCACTTTAAGTTACATTTTTCATAGTTAATACTAAATAATTTTCCATTATTTATTAGAATTTGTATTTTCCTGTTTTTTCTTTAAGACTCATAATAAATTTGTTATAAATTTATATATATATATATATTTATATATATATAATATATATATATATATATATACATGTATAACTTTGTCAAATTTAAATTTCAAACTGGCTTTGTCAAATTTAAATTTCAAAACTTGGCGCCTTAACTTGAAGAATGTGAAGTCCTATGAAACTTTTACTCACAATATTCACTTAAAGTTACATTTTTCATAGTTATACTAAATAATTTCCATTATTTTATTAAATTTGTATTCGCTTGTTTTTTAAGACTTTCATAATAAATTTGTTATAAATTTATATATATTTACACATATATAAACTTTGTCAAATTTAAATTTCAACTTGGCGCCATAAATTTAAACATAGTTGTGAATTGAACGTAGCCAACTTCACACTGTTCACAAACACCATTGCGTGAAATGTCAGACATTCTAGTTAAAGACGCGCATTGAGTAGAATTGTGTAAAAAACATTAAATAAACCAAATCTTGTTAAAAATTACCCATCGGTTCCTTAAATTATCATAAACTTAATCTTTACCATCTATTATAAATAGTGCACAAGTTAGTTTCACCCAGATTCCATTACCATGATGAATATGAACATGCACGGTGCCCCAACAAGGCGTGGGGTCCCAGTAAACCCAATGGAATGCCAGGAGTCCAAGTCGGGTCCTGGAGGAGTCCCTGTAGGACCAGGAGGTGTACCTGTTGGACCTGGAGGTGTGCCTGTTGGTCCGGAGGTGTCGGAGTACCTCAAGGTATTATCAGCAACCTTCTCCTCAACAATGCAACAGCAACATGCTATGCAGCAGCAACAGCAACAACAGCAACAGCAGCAGCAGCAGAATGCTCAAGTTCCACCTGCCGATAAGCTGGATAATATATCGAAGGTCAAGTCTTTGATTGGACCGCTGAGGGAATCACTTTCGGTAAGATGATAAAGGACTCTTTGATTTAGTATTAGTAGTAAAATTTAGTATTAGTCTTTTGTGTCTTTTTTAATTATGAAGTTGATTTTTGTTTTTTATCTCAGGTTACCTTAAAAACAGCAGCACAAGTCTTACATAAGAATCACCAACTTGACACAGGAATGGTGTAAGTATAATGCAATAGTTTAAATAAATTTCTAAATGTGAATATTTTAAATAAATAATGGTTATTTTATTTTACAGAAAGTCCACAATTGATGATGATACTCGGTTTGATAAATGCATTGAAGACTTTTATTCAAAGTGTGATCAAATCGAATTACATTTGGTAAGTTAATTTATATATATATATATATATATATATATATATATATATATACTAGCTAACCCGGCAAACATTGTTTTGCCACAAAAAATATGCCTAAATTGATAAAAATTTATTAAAAGTGCCAAAAATCAAATGTTTAATAGATTTGGACTCTGATTCTTTGACAAATAGTTAAAAACTTGTTAATATTTTCAAAATTATTTGACATTTCATAATTCAAAAATTAATTCACTCGCATCATAGTTTTTTGTTTATTATACTTTGTCATGTCATATATGTCAATGAAATTTTCTTTCAATATTATTTATTTGTTAATAAATTAATAATTATTTTAAGTCATCAATGAATAATTATATAATTGTTAAATTCATAAGTTTGGCTAAATCAACACAGGAATATTGTGGAAATGAATATTTTTTTACATAAAGATCTGATTTCTGACATTTGCATTTTATTTCAAATTAATTATAACTGTCGAAATATTTTCTTTTGCATCGATATTTAATATAATATGATATAATATTTAGTTTGTCTAGTTTGTTTTTGTCAGATTCCAATGATACCCTCAGATTGTACTATTCCATGTAAGAGGTTACAATTTCCTGTAAAATTAGCATTTGCGATGACAATCAAAATATATCTCAACTGATATATTAATAATATTATATTTTAATTACACAAATTTCTTCACACTCCGATAAATAATTCCAACGCATCATAGTGTTTTGTTTATTTTAATTTTGTTTGTCAATTTTTTTTTAAATAAAGAATAAATTAATTTTAGTCTAAATCAACGCAGTATCTTTATCTAAATATACAATTTTTAATATAAATATTTGATTTTATACATTTGCATTCAATTCAAAAATAGTGAATGTCAATTTCATATATCCAATATGCACTAAATTTATAAATGTCAAAATATTTCCTTCTTGGTCGAAATTTAATATATGATAATATTTATTTTACAATAATGTTTTGTATCTATAATTTGCTTGACAATATTGCCTATAACATAACATGGAATAATTAATTTATTTGCTTCTTATTGAAATAAGTCGTTAAACATTTTTTTGTGAAATGTCAAAATTTTGTTTATGATTAAATTTTAAATTCAATATGCCCTTTTTTTATTGTGATCTCTGATCTATAATGTTTTGATGAAGTTTGGTTTCCGGAATAATTTGGTAAGCTAATCAAATTAAATCTAAAATCGTAAATCTATTTATATAATTATTTTTATAAATACTGACAAATGACATTAATTTGTTTTACATGTCAATTTATTCAATTTTTTAAGCTTTGATTTTAATTAGATTTAAAATATAAACAGTGATTTTGAATATAGCATTTCATCAAATTTGGATTTAATGTGGATATTTATATATATGTACATGTTTTGAATTTTATTTTTTGAAATGTCAAATTTTTTTTTTCAAAATTATATATCGAAATTTCCTTAAATTTTGACTGTCCATTTAGTGTTTTGTTTTTTTTTTGGTCATTTTTGTCAAAATTTTTAGAATTTATAAAATTATATATTTATATTTCAAATTACTTTTCAAATTTTTATACCTAAGTTGGATATATATTGCACACGATGAGCCAATAAAATTTAAAATCGGTTCAGCAGTTTGGGCGTCCATCGCAAACCAACATCGTGACACGAGATTTATATATATATATATTTATATATATATATATATATATATATATATTTATATCTATTTCCTTTTCAGAAAACTTCCATCCAATGTCTGAGCCAATCAGCATCCGCACACCAGTACTTACCTTTACCAGTGGCTGCAACTCGTGTGGAGCCTTTACCTCCACCTCAGCCCGAACAAGCTGCCATTTCGTATCCACAATATCTGTCGACTGTCAGGTCACAAATAAGTTATGCTAAGGAAATACACGACACACTGGTGGCTGCTGCCCAAAATATATCGGAATGATTTGATAGAAATTATAATTATTTAGTATAAGGTGAGTGGTAATGATTGATTGAAAGGTTTTGATGATTTGGTAATTTGTTTTGTTATTTTGTTGCAGTTGGTTGTGATGTGAATTAAGGAAAATGTGCAGGAGGATGTGTGGTAGATTACAGGCAAGTGGAATTCTTATGTAACTCTGATTTTATCTTTTTATTCTTATGTAACTTTAATACTGTTTATTCTACTTTTTTACTTATTTGTTGACTATTTATTATATATATATATATATATATATATATCCAGTAATCCAGTAATTAAAAAACAGTTTTAATGTAAAATTTTTTTATTTTAAGAACATACGTTTCAGGTCTTGATTTGACCCATCTTCAGTGCATACAAATAAATTTTGAAAAACAACACAAAAACACGAAAATTGCACGAAAAAATGAATAAATGTGAAATAAAAAAGTAATGAAAGCAATGAATAAAAAAAGTAAAGTAATGAGTAATACAATTTCCAAACTAACAACATGTTTGTTTGGAATAAGCTTTTTTATAATAAAATATATCATTTATTTTAATTTTACAATATTTTTTTTTTAATTTTTCATAACTCGACGTTTCATCAATTTTTTATTTCACATTTATTTATTTTTTCGTGCAATTTTTGTGTTTTTGTGTTGTTTTTCAAAATTTATTTGTATGCACGATGGATCAAATCAAGACCCGAAACGTATGTTCTTAAAATAAAAACATTTTTCATTAAAACTGTTTTTTAATTACTGGATGGATGCCCAAGAAACAATTTTATTATATTATTTCACCATCTGAAGAAAAACCTCTCGCTTTATATATATATATATATATATATATATATATATATATTAGGGTGGTCCTTAATATGGTCATTTTCGAATTTCCTTGCTCCCAGGGGCTCCAATGATTCCAAATAGATAAAAAAACAATTCTCTCAAAGTTTTAGCTCTTAATATTGTCTTTTAGATAGAGCGCAATTCAATCAAAGATTTGTATGGAAATAGCATGAAAAAATCATCAAAAATTTTGCAGAGTGTCGAATTTTTAATAAAAAATGACAATTTTCAATTTTCACTTTTAATTCATTTGTCGCTAAGTTATACCTAAAAATTTTTTTTTTAATTTTCAAATTTTTTTTCATGCTATTTCCATACGAAGTTTGATTGAAATGCACACTATCTAAAAGACAATATTAAGAGCTAAAATCTTTCAGAGAATTGTTTCCGAAAATGCCCATATTAAGGACCACCCTAATATAATTATTAATAATTCATTTATTAAAACATTATTTTTAAATTTGAAGCATTACATAAGTTTTCCAAAAGCCTGTTATTTAATTTTAATAATTTATCTTTTAATTATAATATAGTGGTAATGTTGAAAGAGTAATTTTAGTATATATTTAAATATATTAAAAAGGTTTCATAATAATCAAAAAATACTTAAAAACTTGAATGTCCTTAGAAGAAAATCATTTTAATTAGACATTTATAAAAAAGAAGAAATTCATTTAAATTAGACATTTATTAAAAAAGAAAAAGAAATTATTGTTATTTAATTAAATGCTCTAATTTGTTTTTAATTAAGTTGTTTTCTAAATGTAAAAATATTTCAATACTAAATAAGAATTTAAATAATTAAGATTCTGCCAATTTTTTGAAGGTCAACATTTTTTGTTTTATGCAAAATGATTTGTATTAAAGGTGTGTCTAAATTAATATTAATAATATTCTTTAAAAACAGTTTTGAATAGTTTTGGAATTTTCTGGTCAAAAATAAGTTAATTGGTTAAAATCATTTTGATAGTTTTTATCAATATAAAATTCATCTAATACTATATATATATGTATATATATATATATATATATATATATATACATATTTATATATATATTTAATTTGAGTTTAAAATTTGGGCGTAACATCAATAAAAATAGTATGAGAGTTTTTTAAAAGTATACTAGGATACAAAATTGTAAGTGTTTTATTATTATTATTATTATTGTTTTTCTATGAAATTTCTTACATATAACTTATTTAATTTCAATTTTTATAGTTAATTTGATTACCACTGAATAATGGCTAAGATGCTAGCCGAAACGTATGGATTTTAAATAAATAAACTTTTAAAAAACTCTCATACTATTTTTATTGATGTTACGCCCGAATTTTAAACTCAAATTAAACATATATATCAACGTCAAATTCAAAACTATTCAAATATATATATATATATATATATATATATATATATTAGGGTGGTCCTTAATATGGACATTTTCGAATTTCCTTGCTCCCAAGGGCTCAAATGGTTCCAAATAGACAAAAAACAATTCTCTGAAAGTTTAGTATGAAAATAGCATGAACTATTTGAGCAATGAGCTATGAACTATAGCATGAGTTTCAATAAAAAATGACACGAATTTTCACTTTTCATTCATTTAAAATTTTTTTTTTTAATTTTCAAATTTTTTTTTTATGCTATTACCATACGAAGTTTGATTGAATTGCGCACTATCTAAAAGATAATATTAAGAGCTAAAACTTTCAAAGAATTGATTTTTATCAAGTTGGAACCATTTGAGCCCTTAGAAGCAAGAAAATTCGAAAATGACCATTTTAAGGACCACCCTAATATATATACACCTAAGTCTGTTTTTACACGGTCTTTTTGTACACGGTTTGAAAATTGAATATTTTTAATTTTTTTTACACGATTTTATTCCATTTAGCACGATTTGAAATTTTATTTTTTTTTCACTAATTTTAATAGGTTTTAAAGATTAGGAACAAATCACCCATTTTTGTATTAGATCAACGTCTTTTTTTACACATTTTTTTTTACACGGCTTCTTCTGGAACTAATCTACCGTGTAAAAGCAGACTTAGGTGTATATATATATATATATATATATATATATATATATATATATATCAATAAATATAAACACTGTCTATTTCTTCAATTGTATAAAATTTTATTCAAAAACTTCAGTACAACTTAAAAACTATTTACAGTAGTTTTTCCATCAATGATATATGAATGTATAAAAAATTAAATTTTTTGATACAAAAAATTAATATGAAGGCGTCCCTAAAACTAAGCTAATTATAAACTAATAATGTAAGATTCATTTTATATAAAACTAGTTTTTTAATAAAATTTGATATTAAACAATGTCTTTCTTAGAATTATCAGTCTCCGATGTAATATCTTTCTTCATATGTTTCAAATTTCAAATTCATTCATCATAAATCTATTCCTAAACTTCTTTTTTTAATTCCATTCCAGTTTTCCATTCATTTCATCCATTTCATCATTTTTTTGGCAAATTTTGATTCGCCAGGAGGAAAAAAACAATCATTAGCATTCGTGGTAGATGTGTGGCAGATGATGTGGTAGCAGCTTCTGAAAAGGTAAGTGGAAATTTTAGTTTTTTTTATTAAAGAATATTATTTATTTATATGAATAAATAATTATATATTTTTCATATATATATATATATATATATATATATATATATATATACACTAGATGACTCGACAGACGTTCTGTATCCACATCTACATTTTTTTAACATCTTATAATAATATTTACCGTTCAGTTAAAAATAATAATCATTGTTTTTCGAATTACTATTTACACCATTATATGAGTGATGTTAAATGTAGAACTGTTTCAAATGAAATGATTGTTCTCAATTCCCACAGTTAACACTTTAATTATCCCTTTAACAAATATTAAAACATGCTCAATAAAATTGTATATCAAAAATTATACACTGCAATTTAGAGTACAAATTTATTTCCAATAGCTCAATTTATTTTAATTCCAAAGGTTATACAATATTATGTAGATGTGGATGTATGAATAAATCATTTTTTGTTTATCGTCTGCCTTTGTGATTTATGGTCATTGAAAAAGTACTCGTGTTGAAAATTGAAGTCTTTTAAAAGTTATAACAAATTCAGAACGAATTAATATACAGCATTCGCGGTAAAGGTACAATATCACCTTGAATGTTTCTACCCAAAATAATTGCTTCAATAACGTTGCCTATACTTTTTATAATTTCGTTACTTTAACTGGCTTTTAGTAATATTAATATCTAAATTACATTTTTCTCACTAATAATTCAATATACATTATTACATGAGTTCATTATTAAAGTGAATTAATTTGTCAAATCTTGTTCACATGTACTCTATTCAACCTACGATCAACAAAATTATTTCAGTAAATGGAGAAGGAAAAAGCGTGTGCCCTGTGAATTTTTTTACTGTGCTCGAATTTGCTTGATATTTTGGAAATATGATAATTTTAATCTCAGAAAAGAAAATTTGCACTCCTTCACCACACCCGGCATTAATTCTGATTTTGTCAGAATTTGTAATATACGATGTTGACTCTACCTTATTATATTATTTTAATTTTTGGCACATCTCAGCTGCTTTTCGGCAATAATAATGTAGACATTACATTTATACTTATTCATAATCATGAATATATGGCGCTGGTGGGCCATATATTATTCATTAATTAATTCTTGAATGAAATCGCAATAATTTTATTTCAACTCGATAATGACTGTTTATTAATGTCTCAATTGATAAAGATGTTGATATTACATTAAATCAAATCTAAATTTCGATCACGAGAAAACGCTCGTTGGCAAAAAACTCGATACAATATTTTCGATCGTTTTAAAAAGCGCGACAATAATATTCGATCGTATAAAAACAATAATCAGATCGTTATAGCTTGCTTGATGCCAGATCCGAATCAACGTAGCCCAATATAATTTAGTTTTGTCATCAATTGACGTTATTCAACTGACATCTGTCATATGGTGCTCATTCCGCCATTGTCATCAATTGACGTCCTTCAACTTCATATGGTGTTCATTCCGCCATATAACTCCCCTTCAAAAGAAAAAGAGGTATCCGGTAAAAATAAATGAATTTGATTATTAAAATTTGAAGGAGACTTTTTTAGGTTTCATCTTTTTTGGAGGGTCAATCGATAACTCCAAGTTATGTGATTTAAATTCTTGAGATGAGCTTGGTTGACTGTTATCTATTTTAACTGTGTATGCTGGTTTTAGTCTGTCAACCGATATGTTCTTATCAGTACCATCCATAGAAATTTTGAACACTTTGTCTGAAATTCTTTCTATAATTTCATATGGTCCACTATATGGAGGCTCAAGTGGTTTTCTAATATGATCAGATCTTACAAATACATGAGTGCATGTATTTATGTCCTTAAGCACAAACATATTGGCTTTATTATGATGAGCTGTGGCTGTAGGTTTAATATCCCGCATTATTCTTCTGTGGTAGTCCAGAAATGCTTGTGGATCGGATGACAGTTCTTTAGTTGTGAAAAACTCGCCTGGTAGTCTTAATGTGGTTCCATAAACCATCTCAGCAGGAGATGCTTTAAGGTCTTCTTTGTATGAAGAACGTAAACCTAGTAAGACTACAGGTAATACTTCGATCCAAGGCTCAGGAGAGCACATTAAAGCTGCTTTCAGAGTTCTATGCCAGCGTTCAACTAGACCATTGGACTGAGGGTGATATGCCGTTGTCCGTATTTTCTTAGCACCTATTGCATTCATTAGTGATTTGAATATAGCTGATTCAAACTGGCATCCTTGGTCGGATGTTATCACACATGGTGTACCAAATCTTGATATCCAGTTTGAAAATAGGGCTTGGACAATCGTGTCTGCAGAAATGTCCTTTAGAGGAACAGCTTCTGGCCACCTTGTAAATCTGTCGATGATTGTTAGGCAATAAGGATATCCATTAATATTCGGTAATTTGATTATGTCAATGTGAATATGCGAAAATCTGTTTTCAGGAATAGGAATATGGATAGGAGTGAGGTGATTATGTTTATGAATTTTGGATTTTTGGCAAGGAATGCATTGACGTGCCCACATGGTGACGTCTTTACCAATCCCAGGCCACACATACCTTCTTCGCAACTCCCTTGAAGTAATCCTTATGCTTGGGTGTGCATTTCCATGTACAATGTCTAAAGCAATTCTGCGAAGACTTTGTGGAAGGTAGGGCTTCACACAATTATCTTGCTTGTTGCAATAAACTGGATACCCCCCTAATGTCAATTTTTGAAGATTAATAGAGGTGTTGCCGTTCAATATAGTTTGCATTTCAACGTCCTTACTCTGTTCTTGCGAAATTTCCTCTTCGGTTAGCTTTGATGGCATTTGAATGGCATTGATCCTGGACAACGCATCAGCAACAACGTTCTGATCACCCTTCACATATATAATATCAGTGGAAAACTGTGATATGTATTCTAGCTGCCGTCGCTGACGATCTGATCGGGTTGCCAACACGCATAGCGGCTTGTCAACACGCATCACATGTCTCTGGACAGATTGGCCCATATAGTGACAGCACTGAGAAAAACAAAAGGAAATTCAAGTGTCAGATCGGACACGGCTTTTGTCTCTCCCTAGTCGAATTTGCTAAAATGTATAATTCTTGAAACCTTTCTTTTCAATTATAAATAAGAAAATACCAATAACGTTTTATTAACGATAAATATGACAACACATAGTGTCGTGGATATTAATCATATATAAAATAAATCAAATATAAATAATATTTTATGGAATTTATTATTACTACAATTTGGATAATATTGGTATTAATATGGAGGACTACTACACCTCCAATATGGAGGCGTGCTCCATATTGTAGAAATACCAAAATGCAGTCATAATAAATTTCATAAAATATTATTTATATTTCGTTTATTTTATATATGATTAATATCCACGACACTATGTGTTGTCATACTGATCATTAATAAAACGTTATTGGTATTTTCTTATTTATAATAGAAAAGAAAGGTTTCAAGAATTATACATTTTTTTGGCAAAAACTACTCGGGAGAAACAAAAACCAAGTACGATCTGACACTTGAATTTCCTTTTGTTTTTCTCAGTGCTGTCACTATATGGGCCAATCTGTCCAGTAACATGTGATGCGTGTTGACGAGCCGCGATGTGTGTTGACAACCAGCTATATCACTCCGCCCTAATGAAAAAGATTGTTTCGTATCTCTGACTGCCATTCTTGAACTTCCTTGTAAATTTCTTTTGGTTGAGATTGTGTGATAAATTTTATTTGTTTGTGGCCGTGGCCGTTTTGAATGCCGTGTTGGCTTGTTGAGTTTGTTGATTGCTTACGTGGCCCTTCGCTGGTGAGTTAGCGGTTGAGTAGATGTGGCCCTTCGCTGGTGAGTTAGCGGCTGAGTATATTTGACACTTCGCTGGTGAGTTAGCGGTTGAGTGTATGTGGCCCTTCGCTGGTGAGTTAGCGGTTGATTGTATGTGGCGGTTGCCAAATTGGTTTGATGTTCCCTGTCTGTTGCCATGGTGCTTATAATCGACTTATTTACCAGGATAATAAGTGATTTATTGAGCACGTGTTGTTATTGATCTTGAAGTGCGTGGTTGGAGTCTCAGTTGTATGCTTAGAATGCTCTACGAATTATGGCAGTTGTGAGCCATTTATGTTAATTATTAATATTCTTAAAAATTCTATTCTTGAGACTTCAATTTATTTTTTACTTCTAAAAATGTCTTGATCTTCTTACCTTCTTGCGAAATGTGTGTTACTTGTTCACTCTCGGGGTCACCAAAATATGGAGGTGTGGTCCATATTAAATACCAAAATGATAGACAATGATAAATTTCATAAAATATTATTTATATTTCGTTTATTTTATATATGATTAATATCCACGACACTATGTGTTGTCATACTGATCATTAATAAAACGTTATTGGTATTTTCTTATTTATAATAGAAAAGAAAGGTTTCAAGAATTATACATTTTTTTGGCAAAAACTACTCGGGAGAAACAAAAACCAATACGATCTGACACTTGAATTTCCTTTTGTTTTTCTCAGTGCTGTCACTATATGGGCCAATCTGTCCAGAGACATGTGATGCGTGTTGACAAGCCGCTATGCGTGTTGGCAACCCGCTACAAATATATTATATTTTAATATTGCCTTAGCCTATAAGTGAATGAAAATGTTTGGCAAATGACAGTCTTCATTTGTTTTTAATGTCAAACAATGCCTCAAATATTTTCAATGTCAATCAATGATAAGCGGTTTTTTGTAATCTTTTCCATTTATTTCTACAATCTAACTATATTTCTATGAATCAAAAAATCCTAAAAAATGTCTTTAACTTCAGGAAGGTTTATGAAAATCCGAATAATCGTTTAGGAGGATTAACCTTTCATACCCCATTACAGAAGAATTTTATATGTAAGATATATAAATAGTTTTTTTAAGACGATTTTAATGATGAATCTAAACTTCTATTTGATCAAGTCGATTATTTATATAAAATTGAATAATCTA